GGAATACAACGTTGAAAATTGCAGAAGTTATTGATTAATGCGAAACAACGTTAAAATTGCAGAAGTTATTGATTAATGGCAACACAACTTTGAAAGTTGCAGAAAGTTATTGATTAATGGCAACACAATGTTGAAAATTGCAGAAGTTATTGATTAATGGCAACACAACGTTGAAAATTGCAGAAGTTATTGATTAATGGCAACACAACTTTGAAAGTTGCAGAAGTTATTGATTAATGGGAACACAATATTGAAAATTGCAGAAGTTATTGATTAATGCGAACACAACGTTGAAAATTGCAGAAGTTATTGATTTGGAACACAACGTGAAAAATTGCAGATGTTATTGATTAATGGGAGAACAATGTTGAAAAATTGCAGAAGTTATTATTGATTAATGTGAACACAATGTTGAAAATTGCAGAAGTTATTGATTAATGGCAACACAACTTTGAAAATTGCAGAAGTTATTGATTAATGGCAACACAATGTTGAAAATTGCAGAAGTTATTGATTAATGGCAACACAACGTTGAAAATTGCAGAAGTTATTGATTAATGGCAACAAAACTTTGAAAATTGCAGAAGTTATTGATTAATGGGAACACAACGTTGAAAATTGCAGAAGTTATTGATTAATGAACACAACGTTGAAAATTGCAGAAGTTATTGATTAATGGCAACACAACTTTGAAAGTTGCAGAAGTTATTGATTAATGGGAAGTTATTGATTAATATTGAAAATTGCAGAAGTTATTGATTAATGCGAAAACACAACGATTTGAAAAATTGCAGAAGTTATTGATTAATGGCAACACAACTTTGAAAGTTGCAGAAGTTATTGATTAATGGAAACACAATATTGAAAATTGCAGAAGTTATTGATTAATGGGAACACAACGTTGAAAATTGCAGAAGTTATTGATTAATGGCAACACAACTTTGAAAGTTGCAGAAGTTATTGATTAATGGGAACACAATATTGAAAATTGCAGAAGTTATTGATTAATGCGAACACAACGTTGAAAATTGCAGAAGTTATTGATTAATACAACTTTAAAAACACAACTTTGAAAGTTGCAGAAGTTATTGATTAATGGGAACACAATATTGAAAATTGCAGAAGTTATTGATTAATGGGAACACAACGTTGAAAATTGCAGAAGTTATTGATTAATGGCAACACAACTTTGAAAGTTGCAGAAGTTATTGATTAATGGAACACAATATTGAAAATTGCAGAAGTTATTGATTAATGCGAACACAACGTTGAAAATTGCAGAAGTTATTGATTAATGGCAACACAACTTTGAAAGTTGCAGAAGTTATTGATTAATGGGAACACAATATTGAAAATTGCAGAAGTTATTGATTAATGGGAACACAACGTTGAAAATTGCAGAAGTTATTGATTAATGGCAACACAACTTTGAAAGTTGCAGAAGTTATTGATTAATGGGAACACAATATTGAAAATTGCAGAAGTTATTGATTAATGCGAACACAACGTTGAAAATTGCAGAAGTTATTGATTAATGGCAACACAACTTTGAAAGTTGCAGAAGTTATTGATTAATGGGAACACAATATTGAAAATTGCAGAAGTTATTGATTAATGGGAACACAATGTTGAAAATTGCAGAAGTTATTGATTAATGGCAACACAACTTTGAAAAGTTGCAGAAGTTATTGATTAATGGGAACACAATATTGAAAATTGCAGAAGTTATTGATTAATGGGAACACAATGTTGAAAATTGCAGAAGTTATTGATTAATGGCAACACAACTTTGAAAGTTGCAGAAGTTATTGATTAATGGGAACACAATATTGAAAATTGCAGAAGTTATTGATTAATGGGAACACAACGTTGAAAATTGCAGAAGTTATTGATTAATGGCAACACAACTTTGAAAGTTGCAGAAGTTATTGATTAATGGGAACACAATATTGAAAATTGCAGAAGTTATTGATTAATGCGAACACAACGTTGAAAATTGCAGAAGTTATTGATTAATGGCAACACAACTTTGAAAGTTGCAGAAGTTATTGATTAATGGGAACACAATATTGAAAATTGCAGAAGTTATTGATTAATGGGAACACAACGTTGAAAATTGCAGAAGTTATTGATTAATGGCAACACAACTTTGAAAGTTGCAGAAGTTATTGATTAATGGGAACACAATATTGAAAATTGCAGAAGTTATTGATTAATGGGAACACAACGTTGAAAAATTGCAGAAGTTATTGATTAATGGCAACACAACTTTGAAAGTTGCAGAAGTTATTGATTAATGGGAACCACAATATTGAAAATTGCAGAAGTTATTGATTAATGGGAACACAATGTTGAAAATTGCAGAAGTTATTGATTAATGGCAACACAACTTTGAAAGTTGCAGAAGTTATTGATTAATGGGAACACAATATTGAAAATTGCAGAAGTTATTGATTAATGGAACACAACGTTGAAAATTGCAAAGTTATTGATTAATGGCAGAACAACTTTGAAAGTTTGAGTTATTGATTAATGGGAACACAATATTGAAAATTGCAGAAGTTATTGATTAATGCGAACACAACGTTGAAAATTGCAGAAGTTATTGATTAATGGCAACACAACTTTGAAAGTTGCAGAAGTTATTGATTAATGGGAACACAATATTGAAAATTGCAGAAGTTATTGATTAATGGGAACACAACGTTGAAAATTGCAGAAGTTATTGATGAATGGCAACACAACGTTGAAAATTGCAGAAGTTATTGATTAATGGGAACACAACGTTGAAAATTGCAGAAGTTATTGATTAATGGCAACACAATGTTGAAAATTGCAGAAGTTATTGATTAATGGGAACACAACGTTGAAAATTGCAGAAGTTATTGATTAATGGCAAACAACTTTGAAAGTTGCAGAAGTTATTGATTAATGGGAACACAATGTTGAAAATTGCAGAAGTTATTGATTAATGCGAACACAACTTTGAAAGTTGCAGAAGTTATTGATTAATGGGAACACAATATTGAAAATTGCAGAAGTTATTGATTAATGGGAACACAATGTTGAAAATTGCAGAAGTTATTGATTAATGGGAACACAATGTTGAAAATTGCAGAAGTTATTGATTAATGGGAACACAACGTTGAAAATTGCAGAAGTTATTGATTAATGGGAACACAATGTTGAAAATTGCAGAAGTTATTGATGAATGGGAACACAATGTTGAAAATTGCAGAAGTTATTGATTAATGGGAACACAACGTTGAAAATTGCAGAAGTTATTGATTAATGGGAACACAATGTTGAAAATTGCAGAAGTTATTGATTAATGGGAACACAACGTTGAAAATTGCAGAAGTTATTGATTAATGGCAACACAATTTTGAAAGTTGCAGAAGTTATTGATTAATGGGAACACAATATTGAAAATTGCAGAAGTTATTGATGAATGGGAACACAATGTTGAAAATTGCAGAAGTTATTGATTAATGGGAATACAACGTTGAAAATTGCAGAAGTTATTGATTAATGGGAACACAATGTTGAAAATTGCAGAAGTTATTGATTAATGGGAAACACAACGTTGAAAATTGCAGAAGTTATTGATTAATGGGAACACAATGTTGAAAATTGCAGAAGTTATTGATTAATGGGAACACAATGTTGAAAATTGCAGAAGTTATTGATTAATGGGAACACAACGTTGAAAAATTGCAGAAGTTATTGATTAATGGGAACACAATGTTGAAAATTGCAGAAGTTATTGATGAATGGGAACACAATGTTGAAAATTGCAGAAGTTATTGATTAATGGGAACACAACGTTGAAAATTGCAGAAGTTATTGATTAATGGGAACACAATGTTGAAAATTGCAGAAGTTATTGATTAATGGGAACACAACGTTGAAAATTGCAGAAGTTATTGATTAATGGCAACACAACTTTGAAAGTTGCAGAAGTTATTGATTAATGGGAACACAATATTGAAAATTGCAGAAGTTATTGATGAATGGGAACACAATGTTGAAAATTGCAGAAGTTATTGATTAATGGGAATACAACGTTGAAAATTGCAGAAGTTATTGATTAATGGGAATACAACGTTGAAAATTGCAGAAGTTATTGATTAATTTCTAAATTGTTTCCTATATTAACATATGAAGAAATGTAACAATTATTATTGGACAAAAGTAGTAAAAAGACACTGATAAAAATTTTCACGTAATTTGTTAAATAGTTAAAATTGTGTTTGATCTTGACTTGAATAAATGGTAGCGCAATGGATAGCGGAATGAGAAACCGGGGAGCTGCGTTCGAATTCCATCCGAACTCTTTGCATTCACTTATCTGTAATTACTCTTGGGAAAAGCATGAATCCATCTTGTAATATCTGGAAGCCGAGTTAGGGTAAATAGCAGACTGGACTAATTTGCCTTGGAAGCAACCAATCTAAGAGAAGGAAAATTCTAAATTAATATTCAGCCTGAAGAGGGAGAGGCTTCGTCAGTCAGTCTTATCCTAGACGTACTATTGGTGTCGTAGTTGCAATGATGTCCATTTGACACTAGTGGGCTACAAGACTTATGACGACACTTAGCTCACAAATTCAGTTAATATGATATAGGTGGATTTTTGTAAGAGTTTATAAAATATGGTTATTTGTGTTCTATTCTATTACTGGATTAAAATTGTTCCTGTCATATGACGGAGTTTTGAAATTGGGAATATAATTTTGCCATTGTGATTCACGCCAATATTTTGGTCATTCAAACTTTAGTTTTACAGTCTGATGCTCGTAGATTTAAACGGACTTTCATCACATGGCTAAGGAAAGCTTCTTCACAAAGCAACGGACACAAGCGTTTTTATATATAGATGAAGCCTAAAGAATGAAGTCGAATTATTAAGGAGACCTATAATGAATATTTTTGTAAAAAAGTCCATTTAATCTTTTTAGCTACCATTGTTTGTTTATGTTGAGTGTAACATCTTGCGCATGCGCACACATATGTGAATGTGTGGGAGCATTTATTGTATTCTGTACACCTCTCTTGTTATGTTGAGCCTTTTAACAACTGTATTACATTCCCATTCCATTGGAAGCTTGGCCCAGGGCCAGACAATAATCTTGCTTTAGGCCTTGTCAATAATTTGTTTTTCTGCATTGCCATTAAAAATAACTAAATAAAATGCAATAAAGTAAGCCAGTCTATCAAACCAATCTCAGCAATATTTGCATATATATATATATATATATATATATATATATATATATATATATATATATGTGTGTGTGTGTGTGTGTGTACGTGTACGTGTGTACGTATTTATTATTTTGTATTTATTATTTACACAGCTTCTTTCGTTGTGGCAATTCAGTTAAGTGCTTGGTCATTTTGGATAAACGCTAGCTTAAAAATCCGGAATGGCACATTTCCTACCGAACTGAAGATCTTAACGGTTGCGTTCTTGGAGTCCTCAGGCATTCTGTAAGTTTATGTGTGTCCACCGACTTTAGTTAAGATTTGATTATTTTTTTTTTCACCGTCTTGTTTTTGAATTTTTCTTTCTTTCTTTTTTCTTTCTTTCTTCTTTCTTTCTTTCTTTCTTTCTTACTTTTTCTAATTTCATTTTAGCGTTAAAACTATTTTGACTCTTTCTTTCCTTTTCATCTTCTTGCTTTTGGATTTGTCTCTCTTTCTTTTCATTTTTCTTTTTAGCCTTTTTTTTATTTTATTCTTCTTTTTCTACTATTATTTTAGCTTTGAAAATTCTATAGAATTTATTTATCTTACTCTTTTTTTATCCATCTTTTTCTTTTGTTTTTATTTCATTTTCTGCTTCTTGTAGATTTTTTCTTTATATATTGTCTATTTCTTTTTTATGCTTCTGCTTCTTTTCCTACATTCATTTTAGCTTTAAAACTCTGTAGAATCTCTCTCTCTCTCTCTATCTATCTTTTTTCTCTCTTAATATCTCTTTCTTTTTTATCCATTTCTTTTCTTTCTTTTTCAGCTTTAAAATCTCTATTTATTTTCTTTCTTTCTTTTTTGTCTACTGGTTTACTTTATGGCTAAAATATTTGCATGTAGTTGATGTCTGAGTCCTATTAATAAATAAAGTCTTTATTTCTTTAAATTTTGTTTTCTTTCTTTCTTTCTTTCTTTCTTCTTACCTACCACGTGAATAATCTCGCTATGTCAACCGTTCCACAGAAGCGAAAAGTCTCTTATCAGCGTAAGAAGAAGGAAAAATATGTTCAATGCCTTTGGCTAGACTACAAGGATTTCAGCTCAGAGTAAGGAGGAGAGAAACAGAATAATAAGAAGAAGTGGGGGTAAGAGAAGTCAGAGAGAAAGAGAGTTGGACCTGGTGGAATGCTTGGTCGAATGGAATGGTAGCTAAGGAGACTGTGTTTTGTGGGGAGACGAAAAGTGGAAGAGTAAAAAATACAAAATATGTTGGAGATTACTTTAAAAACACGTACGAAACTGTAGCAAACTATGTCAAACGATGCATATATATATATATATATATATATATATATATATATATAATCACTTTAAACATTATTTCTTTAATGGATACTCATATTTGAGTAGACGCTCCGTTTATTTTTTGAATAGTATATTTATTTTCGTATATCGGTCTGAATATTCAAGAAACCTTATTAAAGAAAAACATACGCTCCCCTTCTATAATAAGTGTAAACAAGTGGGTAGCCATCAAATATTTGTGAAAATAGACTTAGATGGGGTAGGGGGCGCTTGGGAACACCCGGTTCTGTAGAAAATTTTAAAGGGGTGATATGATTCGGGTATTAAGGTCCCAAGACTACTCAATTCCTATGTGGCACAGTTCATCTCCAATTATCTTGAGAGAGAAAGATTGTGGTGACAGATAAATATGTAAATATTTAAATGATATTTAAATGTGAGAGAGGGAGAGAGAAAGAGAGAAAGAGAGAGAGAGAGAGAAAGAAAGAAAGAGAGAGAATGAGAGAAATCGCCATTTTGTGGTGATCGGGTGCTAGAAAATTCTCGGCTCGCCATACTTCTCAAAATCTGTCAGTATTTCAATGACCAGGCAATAGAATACTCTTTCTAAACTGCCCGTCTATGTGAATATATATATAATATATATATATATATATATATATATATATATATATATATATATATATAATCCGTTGGTATAATCCAGGCGAGTCCTATTAACACAACATAGACTTTGGAATATGTTAAAACTGACTCACAAAAAAGAATGTTCAATGTTTATTTTCATTAAACAGAACACGTTTTCTTTACAATTGGAATTAAGGTACCTTTAGTTAATTATCATTTTCACCTACGAATTTTAATTTAAAATTTTGAGTATTTTTCAAACTGATTATGGTATCAGTTTGCAGTGGGATACACTCTAGTGGAAATATCCCACTACAAACTGATAACATAAACGGTTTGAAAAATCCTGAGAATTTTACATTAAAATTCGTAGGTAAAAAATAGTCATTAACTAAAGGTATCTTAATTCAGTTTTTAAAGAAAAGTATATATATATATATATATATATATATATATATATATATATATATATATATATATATATATATATATATATATATGAATTAAATTAAAGACGACAGAGAATGTGTAGAGGACCGTGGAGGTTTGCGAGTTGTTAGATTAGGAACAAGTCCCGTTTATTCCTGCTCGAAGAAGGTCCAACTACAAGAACATAGCCGACTCAAGTTGAGTCCAACTGAAGATGTAAAGACCGATATATATATATATGTCAACAAATATATGTATTAAACAACAAATTTACAAGTGACAAAGGCATCAAGATTTGTGTTTGTGTGCGAACGTAAAGAGCTTGCATTTTGGTGAATGTTCGTATGTGTGTGTATGCGTGGATAATGTTCACGGTGTCTCCCACAAATGGGAAGAGGCTATCTTTTGCGAGAGCTTACATTGTAGATGTGTTCGCTGAAATGAAGAACTGAAAAAGAGAACGAGGCAAGAAGTCGCCCAGTATTTATAGTGAAGGGAGAGCGTCCCCTAGTGAACAATTAGGGAATTAAGGAGGAGCTAACTCCGACAAAGATACTGCAATTAAGCTTTTTACTTAATTTTTCTTGTGTTTGAAAAAGTGTTTACTTTTTGGGACACAGTGTGTGTAGAAACTGTCCAAATGTTCTATAGTTCCGAGCACATTTTTGGACATAGAAGGATGATTTTATTTTTACTTTTTAATTGGGTGTATGGGTTGTGTGTATAATTTTAGAGTTATAAGGATGTTTTACATAACTCTAGAAACATACACACAACCAATATACCCAATTCAAAGCAAAAATAAAATCATCCTTGATAATGGCTAAAAGTATAGAATATTTGTACGGCTTCTACACATTCTGTGTCCAAAAAAGAAAACACTTGTTCGAACACAAGAAAAATTAAATAAAAAGACAAGAAAAATTAAATAAAAAGCTTAATCGCAGTACCTTGTCTGTCGTCTTTAATAAAATATGTATAAATGAAGGATTGCTACTTAAATACACAACACGCACACACACACACACACACACACACACACACACATATATATTCAGACAGGTTTCGTTAAATAATTTAGACACTATCTATCTATCTATTATAACTAATTATAATTTCTACATTCCCCTCTATAACCTCTTTACACTATTTTATCATTTATAAACTTTCCCCTACTCTAAGATCTTCCCGATTCTCTTTTTCTTGTCATCCATTCCATCCTTTTATTTATATATTTTAAAGTTATTTTTAAACCCCTTTTTATGCATCTTTTAATTTTAAATTAATATTTCCATCTTCATATAACCTCAAATTAATGTCATAAGGTTAATATTCGGGTATAATTTCCTTTCCTTTAAGAGAAACACCTTCCACCCTCTTCTCACCCCTGACTCATGCCATTCGTCTGACTGAAACATTGAAATGTATAAATTGTATATTAGTTTTTCACGGTTAAATTTCTATTTCTGACACGAACCCAGTTCAGACCAACCTGGATTAATGAGACAGGCGAACGATATCTTCGTCTGCCGAAATACTCTATTCTCCATATGAGGTAATTTTGGATTTGTATTATTTTATATATATATATATATATATATATATATATATATATATATGTGTGTGTGTGTGTGTGTGTGTGTGTGTGTGTGTTATGTTAGTGCACAGGAACGAGGGATGCTGGGAATTAAACAATTTTTTAAAAGATTATATGAACACAAAAGGGACATTTTACAAAATAATACATCAAATGCGTTGGTTGTTCACTGTAACGAGAGTGGCCACAATTTTGACATAAAAATGCTACTATGATGAAAGGATATATATATATATATATATATATAGTTTTGCTTTTTTAAAAATGATAGCGAGTACAGAAAGCGCAACGAAGGGATGTGCTGGTAGCCTGACGGTTATTGGCGAAAAAAGTGAATTCGGCATGCCGTGTTCAAATTCTGACTTTCTCTTGGGTTTATGTTGCACTAATGTCCTTGGAAAGGGCCTGGTTACATATACCTCCGGCTATGGGTTAAATATAACAGTGTAGACTGGGCTCTCTTACCTTGGATGGCAAGTTAGGCTCAAGGAAAGAAGATTCCGAAATCAAGCTCTCATAAATAATACGGCAATCTGAGAAGTCAACCGATCAGAAGAAGAACCACTCTGAATTAAAAAAATAGTCTAGAGAGGGATAGATTCCGTCAGGTTGTCTTTGCATTAGATATGATGACTACTGCTAACGCTACAGAGTATGTAGTGTCCATAAGACTCTAATATGTTACTGGACTCTCAATCGTTAGCTAATCCAGAAGATCAGTAGAAATAGAGAATTCGAATTTCATTGGAGACTCCAAATTTGTAGCCCTGTGCCCGACTAAGCTGTGTTTACACACAGCTATTTCCATCTTTATGTGAAAGAATCATCTTTGATGCTAATAAAAAAATCGTGAAATAAATATTAAATTTCGTTTGTTAATGACTACGGTATTAAAAAGGATTTTAAAATTAACGATATATGGGGGTTTATGTCATTTTGTAGAGCACGTTGATTGGGTGTTTTTTTTTACGATTGTGGAATTTCAAATTTGTTTAATTTTCGTCATGTTTTGCCACTGAATTTTTAAATTAATGAAATTCAGAAAATATTATTTAAAAACTTAGAGATACAGTGAAAGTTTTGTGGCTACGCAGTCGAAATAAATCTATTTTTCATGCGAGATTTTCTTATACAAGTTAATGTTATCGCAATAAAACGTTCATGGACACTGATTTTTCGACAATAAATTTTGAACATCTTATTAGGCGCTCAGAATTTAACCAGGGTTAAAAAGGCAGACATATTCATTATGAAAATCAGGGAGTTAGGAAGACAAACGAAGTGTAATCAGTGGCAATTCGAAAGTTTGTGTCAATAATTGTAGGCCTTAGTCGAGAAGTGTGAAGGCTTTTTTAATGCTGTATACATCGCATAGATGGGCTGAGGCGTTCTATTGAGATGTGATTTAATGTAAAATTCTTTGTTGTGTAGTTATCATTCTTTGTCAGGTGACGGCGATGCCATTTTTGCATCAATTGTGAGAGATAGCATTTGTCACGTTCCATTGATATTTAGTCGGATTTCATATATTACTGGTCTACCCTTGTTTCTGTTGCCTGTCAAAACTTTGGATCAGTTTTAAGACTGCCTCATTTTTCTGTTAATAACTGCGTGATGGTGAAACAGTGTTAACTCCTGACCACATTCTATGGCTGACACCGTTACACTTGTGAAAGCTAAGCTCGAAGGAGAAAAATTTATATATATATATATATATATATATATATATATATATATATATATATATATATATATATATATATATATATATATATATATATATATATATATATATATATATATATATATATATATATATATATATATATATACATATATATATATATATATGTATATATATATATATATATATATATATATATATATATATATATATATATACCTATAAACCCAGAACAACCTAAACAGATCGTCAGGGAAAGTTTGGCTTAGAGGCAAAAAACACATTTATATTTTATAAATATGTGTTTTCTTGCCTCGTTAGCCAAACTTTCCCTGACGATCCGTTTGGGTGAAACCTAGGTAGGTTTGTCTGGCTCACTAGGTGTATCTAGGTTCTGCTCTACGGTTGTATTGAGCTCTTTTGTTAGTTAGTTGTTACTCGCATCGGTTTTTTTTCTTTGGGCTTCAGACCTGCATCTGTGCGATTTTTTTTGTCGGCAGAAGTCCATGTTTGTAGCTCTTTCTTTTTAAAACCTTTTTCCCTCGAGATTGATTTGATTAGCAAATAAAAAATTCGAGTGTTTTTTCGAAACGAGTCTAGTTATCTATATATATATATATATATATATATATATATATATATATATATATATATATATATATATATATATATATATATATATATATATATATATATATATATATATATATATATATATATATATATATATATATATATATATATATATATATATATATATATATATATATATATATATATATATATATATATATATATATATATATATATATATATATATATATATATATATATATATATATATATATATATACATATATACATATATACATATATATATATATATATATATATACATATATATATATATATATATATATATATATATATATATATATATATATATATATATATAATTTAAGCATATATAAAATAGATGTAGCAGTACACTAATTTTATATTGATATATATATATATATATATATATATATATATATATATATATATATATATATATACAAGTCATCAAAAAAGTGGTTGGTTCTGCACAAAGCCTTCGCCACTATAATCAAATCATATGTTCTAATGTCTGGGTTGGCGGTTCCTAGGAACCGATCTGCTTGACCCTCATACGTCGAATACGAGCGGAGAGTCCATCATATATATATATATATATATATATATATATATATATATATATATATATATATATATATGCGCAGGGTGCGATAGATAAATTGTCGGCATTTCATATTTTTAATTTCGCCCATGTACGTTTGTTTTTGATTTTGTTGACTGCACAGCATAGTAGGGTCAGTTGTCTACTGTCTGTATGAAAAATACCACCATGACGCAATTTACTTGGCCAGAAATTTGAAAACTGCATATTGTACTGCTTGGCATTCGCGCCGGAAGCTCTAATACTAACATTTCAGATCGTTTGGGCGAAAAGGTTTTGGAAAGAGTTGGGTTAAGCTAATGGTTATTATGAATGTGTTTGGAGTGATCACTAGTGACGGCGACATTATGCCTTCATTTATCTTCCCACAGGGCCTCGGTCTCAACCCGAAGGTCTACATTATGTGTCTTGAGTAGGTAGTGCTACCCTGGGTCAAGAGGGTAGCTGCTAGAAGACCCTATGTCTGGCTACAGGACTCTGTACCATGCCACACAAGTAGGAGAACATAGTCATGGCTACCAGACAATTTCTGCGACCACATCACCCCTTACATCTAGCCACATAATTACCCAGACTTCAACTCCCTTGAGTATTATATGTGGGTTGCAATTGAGCGAGAGACCAACAAAATTCCATGTAACACCAAAGATAAACTGAAGGCAAGGTATTATGGCAGCATTAATCAACTAAAACAAGGAGATCGTCTAGAAGAGTTGCAGGAGATTCCAAAGTCGTCTGGAGGCCGTGGTTGAAGCCAATGACGATTTTAGTGAAAAAATTTACTTTTGTAATTTTGTTAAATATATGTGGTAAAATGAGATGTCAGTGTTGTTTTCATTTTTGTGCAATTTAGACGACAATTTATCCATCTCATCCTGTATATGTATGTGTGTGTGTGTGTGTGTGTGTTTGTGTGTGTTTGTGTGTGTGTGTGTGTGGATTCACCAGGGCGGGATCATGAAATGATCTTACCTCGACCCGTTTTCAAAAAGTATTCTATCGTCTACTCTGGTACGGACTGATTTCGAGCCGAGAATTTTCCAACGTCCAGTAACCACGCAGAGGTTAACAATCAGTTCTTTTGGCAAATTTATCGATTTGCCATGATAATGACCTTCTTACTGGAATATCAATTACAGATTTTATCTATCTATCTATCTATCTATCTATCTATCTATCTATCTATCTATCTATCTATCTATCTATTTCTCGATCTAATTCTCTTATCTATCTATCTATCTATCTATCTATCTATCTATCTAATTCTCTTCTCTATTTAATTCTCTTATCTATCTATCTATCTATCTATCTATCTAATTCTCTTCTCTATCTAATTCTCTTATCTATCTATCTCCACACATACTCTTTTTCTCCCTCTCAAGATAATTGGAGACTGACTGTGCCACATAGGATTCGAGTAGTCTTGGGTCCTTAATACTCGAATCTTATAACCATGATATATCCTTTAAATTTTCCTACAGACTGAGTGTTCCCAAGCGCACCCGAATCTAAGTCTAGTCTCACAAATATTTGATAGCAGCTCACTTGTTGCAAGAAGATGACTACCAAACAGGCTATGATGAATGAGGTAACTCCCCACATCAACCTCTAGAAACTCGATGGTATTTGCACGCCGATTGCTTATAGTCATTCATATTTTATACAACATTATGTGGATTTTTAGCATCAAACAGCCGTGATCAAAGAACCCGTCATGAGAATCGGAAATTGTTTGTGCTGCATATTGTAAAATACTCAAGGCCATCATATTTTCAATTTTTTTTCTTTCATTCGAGGATGGGCTGAAAAGTTCATAGGCTGACTATGACGGAATGATACTAGAGCTGTGAAATCTTGCATGCATTAATTCCAACTTTTCTTATTAACAGCTGCATTTTTTCTTTCCAGGTTAACTGACATTTGGGTATTTAAAGAAGACTGTTCATCCTATTGGTCAGAAAAGTCAACAACGGATATGACGTCATAATCACCCTAAAACTTCTTCCCAGCTAAGTGATGTCCATGATGAGTAACAGATGAGAGTCAAATCAGAAGAAGAGAGAAGGATTAACTAATTCAAAGTCACAGTTACGTACAGCAACTATTGAAACCAAGGACTTCTTACTTTCATACAACAACCTTAGTCAGTAAACCTCTACATTGAGTGGCTCTCGGGATTTATATTGAGTGACAAATGTAAAAAAAAAATTCTTGCGCATATTGAACGGTAGACCTTTCAAAAGTTTATATTCTATTTCTGTTTCCACCCAGTCAAAGCTATCAGTCTTTTTTGTTGAAATTTATTTTTATTATTAATACGTGGCTGGGCTGAAAAGTTCATAGGCTGACTATGAAGGGCTGATATTAGAGCTTGGAAATCTTGCATGTATTAATTCCAACTTTTCTTCCTAATAGCTGCATTTTTATTTCCAGGTTAACTGAACTGTTCAACGAAAATTTAAAAAATAACTTGTAGCAACTTCTCTTGAAAACTGACAAAATTGGGCATCGCGCAAGTACCCGAAGAAAAAAGGGTTTAGGCCCCAAGGACATTCATGCTGACATGGTTGCTACATTGGGGGGGGTGATGCTCCAGATTTATCAATAATGCAAATGTGGGCAGCTGAATTTAGGAGTGGAATGGAGAGTTTTGAAGATGAACCAAGGTTTGGATGTCTGCAGCTGCCACCACCGACGTAAATATTGATCGTGTTCAGCAAGTGGTGATGGATGACGAGCGACTGATTATATAAATCAATGCTATTAACATACCTCGTGAGAGAGTTGAAAATATTCTACACAATGAACTTGGTATGACGAAGGTTTCTGCTCTATGGCTGGCACATCTGACACCTGATCAAAACACACCTGCTGATCACATGACTGGTAATCTGACATTGTTTGATGCAAATCTAGCTGATTTCCTTCAACGCTTCCTGATCCAAGATAGGTTGGGTTCATCACTTTGAGACAGAGACAAAAAGACAATCCAATCAGTGAAAACGCCCCTCTTCACTTCCCCCCAAAGAAGAACACGGTTGTTTCATCTGCAGGGAAGTTGATGGGCTCAGTTTTTGGGGGGATGCAAAAGTGCATTGTATTTATTTACATTGCTCGGACTATCATCCTCATCTTTGTTGCCATATTGTTCACAACGTTTCGGACGTTGTACGTTCCGGTCTTCTTCAGGTGGTTGGAATGTCGAACTGAACCCTTCATTTCGCTCGCTGGGGTAAACTATTCTAATTCCACGTGCCGTGTCTAATGGATGTCAGTTATCAGTTATCTCCTGTTAATTTCCCTTTTCAAGTTCTTTGGGTCCTGTCACTGGATCTAACTAACGCCTTTATCCACTGTGCTATGTGTCCTTGAGGGACTAGAACAATTTACTCCAGTGAGCGAAATAAAGGGTTCAGTTCGACATTCCAACCACTTGAAGAAGGCCGGAGCAATTCTACAATTATAGAATAACCACTCCATATCATGAATGTTGATATTTTTAAATTAAATTTTCTAAAAGTTGATAAGGGTGTCAAATTTGTTATGTAAATTGCCCCCTATGAAAGCCAAAACAAAATATGGTCGTACCATATGTTTTTTGAAATGCAAAAAAAAAAAAAAAAAAATCAAATTTGTAACTCGTAGCTCTTTTTCATATATTCTTTCTATCGATTAAAATGTTAAAAATTACGTCGCATGGGCATATTGGTTTTTTTCTCCGAAGAGGGATCAATTTACAAGAAATGTATGCAGAAAACTGAACCCCCACTGTAGCTTTTATAAAATTTAATCAAATTTCTTTTGGATGTGCGGGTGGTGTAATGGATTGGGGCTCGCGGTGAGATATCGAATTCTAGTCGAATTCGTTACATTCCCTTATCCCAGGGATAGGTATGAATCTACCTCTTTTATCTACAGCTTTGGGGTAGACAGTAGAACAGACTGGATTCTTCAGCCTTGGTTGGTAGCCAGACTAGGAGAAGGACAACTTAAACTGTATATAGACCTGGCGAAGCGCAAATTATGATGCTAACAAAATGATTGTGGAGTTCGCAATGACTTTATGATATCAACTACGGTCAGCCTCCTTTGGCTTGTTATCTTTCTTAATATTCAGAAACTGGAATATTTAATTTATATAAGGGGAAGAGAATTGTAAAAAAGACCACTTCTGGTCGCCCTGCCTATTGTACAACTCCTTGTTATGGCACCAAAATATGAGTCTAATTACTGTTAGTTTGGTGTTCGCAGCTGGTGTTCTCATGCATAAATAGTTGGGTAGTCATGAGTAAAGTTACACTCACAAGCGCAAGCCGACCGTGTGGCTATTATGGATTTTACAAGTAGACAGAATAAGAATTTGTGCCAGAATAAACGATGTTGCACAAGAATATTCATTTCAGATGTAAATTCTCGGTAATGAGTATCATTAACCAGGCACTTGCTTCAGATCATTTCCAATTTCGCAAGTATCATATGTAAGTACCTTACACACACACACACACACACACACACACACACCCACACACACACACACAGCGTATATCCTGGCTTGGAAGACGCACCTCTAATTTGTTCAGTTAAGCCTTAAAAACAACTAAAAAGTGTTTCCTAAAATTGTTAGGGGTAGGCCGATAATTTAATATCTGCTTTGAAAACACAAGGAAAACATTTAAAGTTTATTTTATAAAAAAAAAACTTCCACACACACAAACACACACACACACACATATATATATGTGTGTATAAATACAGTATGTACGTCTTTGTATTTTCTATGAGGTGACGTATATAATATATAGTTTAATTTTCCTTTTTAACCCACCATTCCCATGGGAAAGAAAGCCTCGCCCACAATGGCGACGAAATTTTCAACTTGGTTCATATTTGGGTGTTGTAACGCGGGCAATAAAATTGTTAATCCAATGGATAAATTTTATTTCTCGTAAATACGGCCCTCAAAACTGGTGAGCGTTCATTTCATTTTTCTTGCTAACGTCGGCATTTTCTCTTTTCTAAATCCTTCAAGCAACTGGAGCAAGAGCCAAACACCTGAAAGGTATGAAATTCCATCTGAAATATTGTACGAGCATATTAATGGCAAATTGCTGATTCAGAAATTTTTCTCAACTAAAACGTCTGCGATGTGGTAGTTTAAAATAGAATAACTTTTCTTAAAATTATGAAAAGAGAGATCAATAGAATTTTTACATATCACATAGACACACATACAGCCACGTATTTTTTTTTTTAAAATAAAATATATTAAATGTTTATGATACTTATCGAAGATTGAATTAGTCCTTGTTCTTTGTGCCGTGTCCCTTCAGGACGTTGGCGATTATGGCTCTTATATGCTAGCAACCACGCATTACGTCTTCCCGCTTTCTTTCAATACCTTTTCGGGAGTTCTTGTAGTTTTTTTTGTGCCAGTACCGAAAAAATTCTTTTCGCCTTGTCATACGGGAAATATATTCTCCTGCATAAATGTAATTTTTTCTACATCATTAGGTGTTATCACGCGCGAACGCACGCAAACATACACACACACACACATATATATAAACAAATGCAGAGATTTGGGCCAAAAATTTCTTGCCTAATATAATTGTAATACACGGATAAATATCCGTGAAAAAGAAAGGATTATGATCAATATAAGCGTAACGTTTACAACTTATATATATATTTTATTATATATATGTTTGACACGCAGACTCACTCTACACCTTTCTGACCATAGCTCAATTAGATCTTATTTAAATATTCATGAAGACCTACTGGACACTAGTCGTAACATACTTGTTGACAACACGAATATAACAGCATAATCTACATGCAAAAAAAGCTAAAAATAATGGAAGCCTTATTATCAAAACAAAAACTCCAACACTTAATAATATTAAATTTGAACATGGACACAATATGTTGACCGTGTTTTGAAAAATGAAAACATTTTATAAAAAAACATAGAACAAACTATTTCTTATTTAACAGTTAAAATATGTAATACTTAAAAATTGTATAGCCGAAAGAGCTCGGATAAAAAGAACATTCGGATAGTTTTTATATAATTTATTATGCGAAAAGAAAAAAATTATTAGATCGTATGAGAAATTGTATAAAAAAACTAAATAAAAGCACCTTGTTTGTCGTATTCAATGAAATGTGCATGAAAGAAGGCTTGCTGCCTAAATACACAAACTATATATATATATATATATATATATATATATATATATATATATATATATATATATATATATTGTGTATATTTAGGCAGCAATTTTTAATGCATGTTTCATTAAATAATATAGATAAGTTTTGTCTATTTGTTTTAAGTAAGTTTCTTTCATATTGTCTGATAAGCTTAATCACATTATTATGGAAAGACGAAAG